TCTGGAGGAGGCTGCTCGCCTTTGTTACCCCGCCTGAAGGAGAGAGTGTAGAGGACGCGTGAGATACTGAGGGGAATGAAAAGAGTCTTGATGTAYTTTTTTTTTTTTTTTTTTTGCCCCTGAGGAAGTTTAACCCCATCGCTGCCTGACGCAGAGTTGATAGCTCGTTGCTGGATGCTGCATGTGAACGTCAATCGCTTCATTTGCAGTCTGTTAAAGTCTGGTTTTGTCACACCTCTCCAGCGAGAGGGTGATTCCTGTCAGTACACAACACTCACACGTTATTCAATCATCTCACATTTGTTGTTTGATGTAATGCGATTACAGAAGTAGAGCTGAGGTTGTATAAATCCCAGTGTACCCTCCTGTTTTCAGCAAAATTACTAAATTACCATTATCTCTATATCGTCTCTAATTTCTATTATATTTATATGATTGTGTCATGTTTTATAGTCACAGAGAACCACAGATGAAAAGATGTTGGATGTGGCGGTGGTCTTATGTTGGGCCCATAAGACGCCATTGCTTTCCTGTAAAATGTAATTTATAGATCTACATCTACCACTGTTCCTCTCTGCCTCGTCAACTTTTCTATCCCGGAGTTCCCAGTCAATAAGCTGCGGTCGTCAGTCTGCAATAGACACCAGCGAGGTGACAGAGAAATACAGAAATGGATTTAGGGGAGGATGAAGAGAGAAAGAAAAGAGATAAAGAGAAGAGCAGGGTGAGAGAGACAGATGCTGTAAAGTACAGTAAAACAGAGAGCACACTGGACACTATAGAGGAGAAATGAGAAAAGAGGATGAGGGTGGGAGTGAGGAGTGAAAGATCAGGGTTGAGGGATGGAGAGGGAGAGAGAGAATGAGGAGAAACGAGGGAGAGGGGAGCAGGAGAGGGAGATTATTAGAGTTGGCCAGGTAGAGCCAGTGAAGCTGATCATTGAGGTGAATTGATGTGATTTCATGCTTTGTTTGCAAGATCATTCAGACCAAAGTGCAATGAAGACTTTCCCGCCACATCACATCTTACTGGTGCGGGGACTTTATCATATTTCTAACCTCAGAATCCAACTAGATTGAATCCACAATCTCAGGGGGCAGCCCCATTCAGCTGCACACAGGAGCTGAGAGATTGCCCCTAAGGCCCCCGAGATTGGCTAGTTGTGACAGGGCCCGAGTACGAGGATACAAGCATCCCAAACGACGGAGCGCTTGTACATGCACAGGCGTAAAGTGGACGTGATGTGCCGCGGTTAAGTGTCCCGGGGCGGCTGCTAGGGGCTGGTGTGAAATCTCCATGCACTGGCAGCAGAATTGATTGAGCCGTGTCTGTTTGTTCGCTTCACCAGGATTATCCGCACCAAAGTCCAGCAGCAATTCCACCCGTCCCCCGACGGATCTGTTACGCCGCTCTCCACGCCCGGCCACACCATAGGTGAGCACGAATGAGGCCACACACAGATTTACAGCAGGAGGAAAACACCAAACCATGAAGACTTGCATGTATTTACCCATTCTCACCCACATGCACCTGTACGAATACACAAATGTGCCACTCACACGTGCAGACACACACTGTACACACACTAACTCAGCTCTCTCCATCAGTGCCCAGCACAGCCTCCCCCCCTGTGACCAGCGCCTCCAACGATCCCGTAGGATCCTATTCCATCAACGGCATTCTGGGTATCCCTCGCTCCAACGGCGAGAAGAGGAAACGAGATGAAGGTAAGGGAGACACAAAACCCACTTTGTTTTCCTATCCTTTTAATTCTCCCCATCACTTGTCTCCCACTTTTGTTTTTCCTGTGTGTGAAGAAGATGGCGTTTATGACAGCGCTGCAGCCCAGTGTGTTTCTGTGTGCTGTCTCCAGTGACTTGTTATGTTGTGTAGCAGCCAGGGCAAGTGTTGTGATTCAATCAGCTTTCTGATGCCCCATGTTTTACCATACGCCCACAGAGCTGCATCTCAATTTCATAACATGCTCGGGCGTACTGTAGATATCCTATATAGCTGTCATACAAGTCTAATCCCCCTTGGCAAGGCATCAGTGCTGCTGTTCTTTTCAGTTTTATATCATAACAAAAAAAAGGCAGGGAAATAAGTTTTTTCTACCAGTTAACCACCTGACATTTAATATTTCACAGTATAGATATATAAATAAATTTCTGGCTGAGCTGTATTTTATTCTGAAGGGCTGAACAGCATTTAAAACTCAATAATATAGTATTTTTTGTAAGACTTCATACTAGACTACACACAACATCAGGGGACTGGCAAGAAAATAGATATGCTCAAAGATTAAGTAGAGGCCTATCCGGTCCAAGCCAGAAATTCTCATTCCTAGGCAAGGCAAGAGTGGACACACACTGCCTGAGGGCTAATAGATTATCGGTTGTGCAAACAATTGGCTTTTTTAATGCCTATGAATTAACATGTCCCTAGTGGAGGCCTGAACAGGTGTAGGAACAGACCGGTGGAGGCAGGGAAGGGGCTGCGCGTGTGTGTGCGTGTGTGTGCGTGTGTGTG